AGCAGGACTTAGAAGACTGGCCTCTTTGTCAAACATGTGAGAAAACAGCAAGCTATTCCCTATTCTTTTTCATGGAAATCTCAGCGATCTCCATGGAGTTCTAACAAAAAACAAAGACAAACACAAACAAACAAAACCTTATTTATTTCCCTATAATTCATAAGGAATCGTTAAAGATAAAATTGAAGGGGAATCTTCCAATCAAAATGTATATGTGTATACACACACTCATATTTTAATGCTGATTTTCAGTTTGTTTATGATAAATATGAAGAAAGAAATATGAAACTTAGATTTTTATACCTATTGTAGTCTATATGAAAATAAAGCCGCATGGTGCGTATGAGAAACGTAGGTTTATATCGTGTACACTCTGATTCATGGTGCCATTGCCTGGTGCTATTGTCTATGATTTAGTAGTACTCAAAACCTTGCCTATGATTTAGAAATAAACAGGAAATATGACAGTCTGAAAGAACCATTATGTAGTAGAGTACTACATACAGTATTATCTAATATACTTTTAAAAGGTACAAAATCACCAGAGGCACATGATAAACTACTATGTTTTAAAAGGGGGTTGCTGGGACTTCCCTGGTGGTGCAGTAGTTAAGAATCCACCTGCCAATGCAGGGGACACGGGTTCGATCGCTGGTCTGGGAAGATCCCACATGCCGCGGAGCAACTAAGCCTGTGCGCCGTGCGCCACAACTACTGAGCCTGTGCTCTAGAGCCCGCGAGCCACAACCACTGAAGCCCGCATGCCTAGAGCCCATGCTCCGCAACAAGAGAAGCTACCACAATGAGAAACATGCACTCTGCAACAAAGAGTAGCCCCTGCTCACAACTAGAGAAAGACGGCACGCAGCAATGAAGACCCAACGCAGCCAAAAATAAGATAAATAAATTTTTTAAAAAGGGGGTTGCCAAAGGCATTGGTGTTAAAGAAGTATTTCATCAGTACTTTAAAACTCAAGGACCACACTTCTTTCTAATTGGCTAGAGTCTGAGAATGGTCTGGGCAGGCAAAAGTCCATTAAATATTCATCTTCTTAGGAAACTAATTTAAGGAAGACTCAGTACAACACCTTTTAAAAGAAATAGTTGTTTAATTTCTTTTGAAAGTCAAAAGTCACATTCAGATTTGCTTCCTTTCGCAGAAAAGCCAATGCTCTCAGTAGCCCGACAATCTTATAGTAAGCTCGCAAACTTACGTCAAGCTTTTCTTTTGCTCTGCTTTGTTTGGCTTGGGATTGGTTAAAAACAATGTGGGAAGGTTGAGCCATGTGTCAAGTGTCAAATTATATATGGACAAGGTGTGCACAGCTGAGTTGTTATTTACGTGGTGTGATGACAGTGATGGTTAATTTATCTCCTGGGGTCTCCAAAGAAAAGCCGCTAGGTGTGCTGCCCACCAGCCTTCTCTCCCCAGCCTGCAGTGGTGCAGAATTTGCTAAGAACAGGGAATACCATTAACAATTCAGTCTAGAATGATTATTCTGTCCTTTTGAAGCAGTGATTTTTAAAAAAGCACACCTCCACTCAAAGTCATTTGCTTCTTTTTCTTGTCAGAGCTGAGACGGAAAGAGGGTTGTCAAGAAAACATATTATTGAAGGTGAGTATTGCTTCCATTTTATTTTCTTTTGTGGGCTGCCGATTCAAGAAAGGTATCAACCAAACAAGTTCAAAACACATTGGAAGGGGAAAAAAATTCTCTATAAAAAGAACCACAATCAACCATGTTTCTTCCTGGGGTTGAGTGTGGGGAGTGTAGTGATATAGAGGGGAAAATGAAAACTCAAAAAGACTGGATTCTCTAGAACTCTTCTCTTTTACAGCTATGCTAATGTTAATAAAGCACTTTTGTAAGATTTTTTAAAAACTTTATTGAGATATAATTTATATACCATAAAAGTTTACCCATTTAAAATATACAATTCATTGGTTCTGAGAATAATTACAGAGTGTGCACTCATCATCATGATTTGATTTTAAAACACCTTCATCTCCCCAGAAAGAAACCTTGTACCTACTAAGAGTCACTTCTTATCCCCTCCTTACCCACAGCCCAAGCAACCACTAATTTACTTTTGTCTCATTTCATACACATGAGATCATACAATATGTAATATTTTGTGACTGGCTTCTTTCACTTGGCATAAAGTTCATCCATGTTGTAGCATGTATCAGTACTTCATTCCTTTTTGTTGCCAAATAAAATTCCATTGTGTGAGTATACCACAGTTTGTTTATCCAATCATCAGTCAATGGACATTTGAGTTTTCACTTTTAGACCATCATGAATAATGCTGCTTTGAACATCTGTGTACAAGTTTTTATGTGGACATACGTTAAGACTACTATGCTTTTTTAAAAAGAGCATATATGCATTAAAAAAAACTGGTGGAAAGTTACTACTAGGTAATTGATTCACAGTGCCATTGCTTTTGCAATGGTACTCAAAAATGGTATCATTTAGAAATAAACAAGAAATAATACAGTCTCCAAGATCTATTATGTAGTAGAGTACTGGTACTCTACTGTGAGGATTATGAGAATTGTGAGGAATTTTTTATTTATTTCTTGCTTGTCTATATATTACAAAAATTTTATGCTTCTATATTTTGCAATAAAGGAAAAATGTTAAAAGGGGCTGCCATATGTTTCTAACATCTTTACACTAGTTCATGAACAATTCCATAAAAATTCAAGAGTTTTATAACTTTAGATTCATAATCATTGAGACAAATGATTCTTCTCCATTTTAAAACTAACTTCATTTATGAAATACCAGAGTCACCCAAAACATAAGATGTACTCTAATCCCACTACTTTCAAAATAAATATAGTTAAAGAAGTAAATTCCTCCCTTTGGTCACCTCATCTCATTCCACAGTTTGACAATACAGTACATAGCCTTCCCTACTTTTCCCTGTTCACTGACTTATCTATCTACCTATACACACTTACTTATAAATACAAAAATGTATGTATTAATCACTAACTGGTTTTTAGTATATTTGTAGGCTTCTGGGCTTTGAAATCAGGAAAAACATTGGTTCAATTTCCAACTCTTGTCATTTATGAGCTGGGGGACTTTGTGCAAGTTACTTAACCTCACTCATCCTCATCTCCTGGACTCTGAGATGGGCTAGCAATATCCTACCTCACAAGGTTACTATTCAGGGATTGAACTTAGATTGTTCACATTGAGCACAGTGTCTGTCATATAATAAGCACTTAATAAATGTAATTTTTTCATCATCACCATCATCATCGTTCTTAATAGTGTAACTACCAGTCTTCTTCCTATGGATAAGGACACTAAGTAAGTAATATTCTGAGGCTGCCACAATGAATGACCACATTCTAGCTCTTGAGAAAGCTTGCAAATTCCTTACCCAAACAAAATCCCTCCTCAGGTCATAGTATCCAATTTGACATTGTACAGTCAAACCCAGCCTGCCTCCCCAAACTGTTACCATTCCTG